CTCAGCCAGCTTTGCTGGCTGAGGAATTCTGGGAGTTGAAGTCCACAAGTCTTAAAGTTGCCAAGGTTGGACACCCCTGCCCTAGACTCAGCTATTCAGGTTGGATTCAGATGAATGGCTAAAGATTAAAAGAATAAGTATTAAATATCTCCCTTAAGGAATTTGATATAATTCTCTTAATACGGAACGTGAGTCCATATTAAGATTTGAGATATTTTTTTCCTAATCCACGAAAGGATCTATCTAATATCAGGATTTGCTGAAAGAGCCGAATAAAGGCCCTAGTTCAGGACACCTTTTCATTTTGGCTTGATTGTTGTGGGCAGTCCGAGTCTTGAGATTCATACCAGGTGTTGAAGAAAGAAGGAGAGTAGAGGTTTTTAAAATAATATCACACCAAAGAGAAGAAAGGAATTGTGCTGGAATTATTATTATTTTTTGTATAAGATAGGGTCTGGACCTGTTCTCTCTGCATCCTCTGAAACGCTAAGACCTTCCTCCCCCCAAAAATGTACTGTATCTCCAGCTTGTGTAGCAACTATCACTGAGAATGTTCTGATTGCACAAGAATAGGAAAAGCCAGATGCTCAAGATCACAGAATATCTTACACAGTCACACCTGCTCTTCCCAGTAGGAAATAGGCCTCTATGTACACATTACAAATAACTTGAATTTGGCCTAAAGGTGCTCCTTTCCAAAGAAGCAACTGGCACCTGGGCCTGTGCCTTGACACCCCGTATCAAGTGCCAGGTCTACTGATGCCCACATTTTTTTAAAAAAAAATCCTCTCATACCACCATGCTATAAATGCTGTGTTTGTTTGTTTTTTACCCCATCATTTCCTGCTTCAAATCTCCACATCCTTTCCTCAGAAGGTGGAAAAAGCTAGGAATCAGCTGCCCTAGATAGTGCAAAGAGCATCACTGCTCAAGGACTCCAAATTTTCCTTGGTTCCCTCTGCAAGTGCAAGAGCTTAGTTGCAAATTTCCCACAAATTAAAAAAAAACCAAACTTGATTAAAAGAGTTTCCATCTCTGTACATGATAATCTTCAGATGGCAGGCTGCCAGATGAATGTTAAATAATTCCTCCACAGTAAATGATTGAAAATAAAAGCTAGCTGCCATTTTTGGTTTCCTTTTCACGGCTGCTTCTCTTTCCAGTTTGTTTCCTGGGCTCTCCAGGTGGGGCGGGGCAGGTCAGACCTTGGCCTCCAGCATCTCAAGGAAGAGTTTGTGCATGGGGACTTTGCCTTGCAGTTTGATGCTGTAGAAGTGCTGCACAGCTTTGGCCGCTGTTTGCCGCAGGAGAGGCAGGGTCAGCAGCAGCTTTCCTGCACGTCGTGGTTCCTCATGACGTTGACTCAGCTCGTAGTCCTGAAGGGCTTCATGGAGAAGATCTTGTAGTTTCTGCACTGCCTCCATGTCCTCTATGTGCATTGAATCTTTAGAGGAAAAGCAAAATTAAGGAGGTAATCAGTCTAGATAAACGGGCAGGGAATATATTTAATCTCAGAACATAGTTTTTCATGAGAATAGAATAGAATAGAAATAGGATAGGATAGGATAGGATAGGATAGGAGAATAGAATAGAATAGAATAGAATAGAATAGAAGAGTTGGAAGAGACCTTGCAGTCCAATCCTCTGCTTAGGCAGGAAACCCTACATCACTTCAGACAAATGGTTATCCAGTCTCTTCTTAAAAACTTCCAGCGTTGGAGCATTTAGAACTTCTGAATGCAAGTTGTTCCACTGATTAATTGTTCTAACTATCAGGGAATTTCTCCCTAGTTCTAAGCTGCTTCATAAAAAAGAAGCTATCGGGAGAACCAAGAGAAACAGCTTCTGGAAGGTGTATCCTATCTGAGAATCTATGCAAAAGGAATGTTGGAAGAAACAGACATACCACTAAGTCAATCTAATTTTTTTGCATTAAATTATGTAGCAAAGTTTTTAGAATATGAATAAGATTATACCTGAGATATACATTCCTCTCTTCTTACATTTAATCTTTTTGATTTCAAAATGAACAACAATGTCAGCCCTTGGAGCTTTATATCATGAGCTCAAAGACCGACCTAATTAATGTGCTACACTAACATTCTACATTCTCAAGAGATTTCTCCTTCTAGATCAACTTGAAAATACTGAAAACTAATTTAAGAAGCCTTGAAAAATTGGAGGGGTTTGCCTGCTTTTTGCTAATGAGATATCAGTTTGTATGTCTATATTTCTGCTTTCTAATTTGTATACCAATACGTGGATTGGAAGAATCCTCACTAAATTATTTTGAAAGCTCTTGCTGCAATTATGTGAGCTAGTAACATGTAGCAAAAAAGAAAGGCAATTAGGAACAAAAGCAACAAAAGCACTAATAATATATTAAATTTATATGACTACCATATCAGGGAAACTCAAAATCAGCCAAAACATTTATTTTACATTAAATTAAAAATAAAAAGCTATATTTACTGTACTTTACAGTTCATTGTCTTCTATTTTTCCAAACGACCCAGATAAAGAGGTGAAGGGAATGTTTATCAAATTTGCAGATGACACAAATTTGGATGGGATGCTAACACTCTAGGAGCCAAATAATTTCAAATCAATTCTGATAAGTCAGAAAAATGAGATGAAAACAATAGAAATATTTTTGTTGTTGTTTCACTTAGAAAACAAGAAATAAATATATAGGAATGAATGAAACGGGGAATATCTGGCTTTGTGTTCATGAAAAAGATCTTGGAAAAATAGTTGATTGCAAGCTCAGAATGTAATTTATAGTTGTGTCAATTGAAAAACAAATTCTGAATCACCGGAACTTATTTTTCATTTTATTCTGCTTTTGTCAACCCACTTCTGAATCTCTCTTCTCCTGCAACTCGTACAAAGAAAAGATAGCTGAGGCGGGATTTGATAGCACTTTTTAAATACCTGAAATAATATCATGTAGATATCACCTGCATTCTTTTGTTCCAGAGTGCAAGACATGAAATAGTGGGTTTAAGTTAGAAGAGGGTAGATTTTAACTGAATGTTAGGGGGAGAGGGGGGAATCCTCTTCCTAAAAAAAAAAAAAGCAGTTTAATAATCAAACTAATTGAGGGATGGTGGACTTCCCTTTTATTAGATGTGCTCAAATGAAGGCTAGATAGCCATTCACATGGGGTGCTTTAATTTGGATTCCTGCACTGACTAATGAGTAGGGGGTCAATGGTACATAGCCTTTTTCAATTCTGTGATTTTATTAAATTATTGGGTTTCTCTTTTACCTCTGCCCACAACACTGGGAATTTTTTCTAGTAGGATACTGGTATGAGCAGACAAAACAGTCCAAAATGCAGATATTTGGACTGTTTTGTCTGAATTAGACTTTTGGAAGGAAATGGAATTTTACCAACATGGTGACTATAGAAATATGGGGGAACATGAATGACTTACTGTCAGGGGTAGGATTCTACCAGTTCGCACCTATTCGCTAGAACTGGTTGTTAACATTCTAAGAAGTTTGGAGAACTGGTTGTTAGAAGAAATTACTGGCCTAATCCTGTAAGGAAGGCAGGAAGGAAACATTCTGGTGTTGCTTACAGAAACTGCTTCTCTGTTAACCCTTATTACATTCTTGGCAGGACTAGACTTCCTATCTCAGGAACTTCTCTGGAGTTTTTTTTTTCCTCCTTTGCTGGTACTTTGCTTGTGTGGGGTGACCATTCAAAGTTACAATGGCACTGAAAAAAGTGACTTATGACCATTTTTCACACTTACTACTGTTGCAGCATCCCCACAATCATGAGAGGCCAGGCGAGGAGATGCGTGCCTCCATGTGAGTGATATTGAGTTGGCCACGCCAGCCAATAACATGACCACCAAGCCATGTCCACCCAGTCACATGACCACCAAGCCACGCCCACCAACTAAGCCATGCCCACAGAACTCGTTGTTAAAAAAAATTGAATCCCACCCCTGCTTACTGTTTGTTATTTTTGAACAGAATAGAAAGGGATTTGTATTTAGATAATACAAAGGAACAGGTTTAGAGACATGGTGCTTGTTTAACTGGCTGGTAAGCAAGAAAATAATTGGCTGATAGCTCACTGTACTCAGTTTTTGAGCAGAAAGTAAAATAACTGATTGGCTGCTAGGTCTCTGTAACATTAGTGTCATAAATATACATAAACATGCTAGGCTTTTAGTGTCCTTTGAGCCGAAAGATCCAAAAATAATCAACCCACCCAGATCATTTTCACGTGCATTTAAATAAACAGTTCAAAAGCTCTGCAAGATGATAGGTTGGTGGAAGAGCAAAAAAACAACTACAACCAAAAACCCGTATATAACAGTTGTATAGTAACAAATGCTCTTATCAAAGAGGCAGTTGTAGACTCATCAAGCTTTCCACCCTTTTTTTCTCAAGTGCACAGAGGACCTAACTTTGATAAGTGATTATAGAAATGAGCCAATATTATGGGATTTATTTCTAGCAAGCCAATGCCGAACTGTTATCAATATAGCTCTGATGAACTGTTAATTACAAAATCAATAATTGTTCTTTCTTATAGAGGTCAGGAGATGGGGAGCTATTAGCCTGAATTCAGATGGAGGGTACTTTCTTCCCAAGTTGTAACAATGGGCTTATTCCTCCTTTCAAAGCAAATGTACCATTTTTTTACTCTTACCAAAAAAAAAAATCTCCCCACATTCCCAGCTGCTAATCCTTTTGTCCACGACGTACCTGAATTGGCCAGAGCCAGAGCCTTCAGAGTGACAAACTCTTCCTTCTCCACCTTCAGCTTTTTGTACCTCCGCACCAGCTGCAGGATGGCCAAATAGAGCTCCAGGAGCCCCGTCAAACGTGAATGTTCCTCATCCATGATGTAATCTTCAGCATAGACCAGTTTATCCTCATACGGTAATGAGCGATACACAATGCCCAGAATGAGGATTTCCATCCAGGCGCTCTGCAGTAAGCTCATCTGGTCTCCCAAAGAAAGGTTAGAAAATCCTGGCAAGGCAAAGGAACAGCAGATTAGGAATATTGGCTGAGTAAAGGCACTGGGTTGCTGCTTCCTAGAAAACTGGCAGAGGCAATTCACCTTATGGTTGTTGGGGAGTTTTTTCTTTTGACATAAGAAATTAACCCTAAAAACAATTGCAAAAATGGATCTTAGACTAACCTTTCCAAGTGCCGTTTTGTGACTTCAACTCGCAGAATTCTTTGGCTGTTACAGGAAAAATGTCTGTAGACAAACTCCCCAGTGGAATGGTTTTGACTCTGAGCCAGTCCTATAGGCACACTTCAATAAGACAGAGGCCTATTCAGATTTTCAAAAGAGAAAGCAGCTTCACATAAGAAGCTACTGTCATGCCCTTGTTGGAGTCTGACTCTGAGGGGGAGATTGAGCAGCTGACAGGGAGTGGGAGTGTGGCTCCGGTGGCTGTGGAAGAAATGAGGGAAGGGCACAGTCTGGCTGGGCATTCATAGAAAGTCCCAGGGCCATCCCCTCTTCATCCTAGGGCACGCAGGGAGGAACAGAGAAGGGAGCAACGTGGCTTATGAGAGAGAAGAAGGCCCTGATCCCTTTCATTAGTTGCTGCTGGGAGAACAGGATATAAGTGGGGTGTTTGCACACAGCTCCTTGCTGGAAATAAAGCATGCTTTATCTTGGTTGAGGCTTATCTGAGTTTTGGCGTCCTCCCAACTGTGGGTGCTGCGTTATCCTTTGAAAGTCTGCAATTTATCATCCTGGCCTGTTGTGTTAATTACTTTAGTGTGATTTGTGTTGTTGTTTTATTTCTAATTATCTTTACTTTGGGTTCGGACTGCATTTCTGCCCTTCATAAACTGTTTGTTATCCAGCTGAAGATAACTGAACATTGGGGCCAAGTTGGAGGCATTAAAGGGAATCTATTCTACTTTTGTGACTTTGTTATTTTGTGTCACGCCCCAGGTCATCATAGCTACTTCCTATTTATCTGGACAATTATTCCTAGAGCTGGGCAAAGCACTCCCAAGAGATGCTTCACCGAATACCATTCCTGAAGCGCTGGAACCTTTATTAGAAGGTCCTCCTAAATGACTCTGCATACAAAACCCCGACTTTCATCAGAATGAACAGCAAAGTGAAGTGGTGCAACTGTGCAAGTAAAGACAACGAGGAAAGTCTTCAAATTGGCTGCACTGATCCCTATGGAGAATGTAACTGCTTTAATATTTCAAAAGCCAGTGCTTCGGTCTTGCCAGCATGCCTTGTAATATGCCCTTTCGGGATGTTTTGTTCCAGTCTAGTCATTACCGTGTTAACATGACAAGGAGAGAAAGAGAAGGATGATGCGCTGTACTTAAAATCGTCCTACCCCTTGGAAACCAGTCAGTTACGTTATCACAGAAAACACTACTTCAAATGCACTTGTATTTCAGCAGTATCAACAGTTGGGAGGGAGTGAGGAGGGTCAACAAGGGCAAAATGGTAGTTGCAACAGCCTGATCAAAGCGTAATCTTTTGTATGTGTGTGCAACATTACTATACAGAATGTACAAACGGAGAAAGGTTTGACCATGACTCAAAGAAATAAGGACTTAATATTAGCTATCACTGAACCATGCATTATTTCTCCTCCTTAATAAAGAGTTGAGTAAACAGTTTACTCATAGAAGGAGAGGAGGCCTTATTGGAAGATATAAGTTCTCACCTTATCTGGGTAAAATACTTTGGTTAAGCCGCTTCATCAAAGCAGCAACATCTAACTTTAAGAAGTCAAACATGATTTGATTGGGAGCCACCCAGAGTTGGCTGAAAGATGGGCAGCTGTATACATGTTTTAAACAAGCAAACAAACATTAAATCACTTATGGAATTCCAAATACTGTAACTGTATCTTCAGGCCCAGGGGAAAAAGAACTGCCCTGCAAACAGATACACTGAATTAACCGTCAAAGTAAAAAAGGTAAAACACAAACAAAAAGCAACAACCTGTAACTAAGTCCATCAGAACCAGTTAAGTCTAATGACTGAGAACAAATCTGCTTTCCAACTGCAGATCTGCAAAAAATCAAAAGTAAGCTTGAAAAGGAATTGTTCCGTCAATGAAAACACAGTTTGGCATTCTAGCAAGTGTGGAAGAGGTAGCAGGGAGATTTTGTAGTATAAAACATAAGGAAGTGTAACAATAAACTTATCTCTCAATATTCCAATTTAAAATCCTTAGAAGTGCTAAGAAATTTACACCAGTATCACTAAGTATCCCACTCTTGAGATAAAATTACCATTATAATGATACTCAAGAGAGTGCCATACTATTTTCATTCTTGTAATATGAATATGTTTGCTTGTGGGATGCTCTTTCAAAATGATTGAGAATAGGCAAGAGTCCTTGTATAGAAGATTTCCCCCCTTGCTAGCGATACGAAAACAGAAGATAAAAACATTATTGGCAGCTACAGCCATGCCGCACGTACCTTACAATATGTTAAAATACCATCTCCAAATTTGTGCCTTTCAGAATATGAGAATTGAATCTCCTAACACTTCTGAAGGTACCAATTTGGGAAAGAATGTACTAAGAGGTCAAACCTTGGACGTATTGTGTGAAGACTTAGTTAAATAAAAAACATACATGTTTCTTCTATAGAGGATACTTCAATTTCATTACTTGGTACTAAATAGTATATAAAAATAAAAAGTATCAGCAGTTTGGCATAAAACTTTTCCATGTGTCTTATGAAACTATTCTCCTCTTCTTATTTTAGTCTAACTGCTTTCACTGTTAGCCTAGAGTTCTTTTTTATGACTTAGCGATGTGCATGTCTCATTAACTGTGATCTACCCTTATCCAGAAGCCTTTATTCCTTCCCCCAAAACCCCTCAGCTCATGCAGTTGTGTGTGCCTTCCTGAACTTGGACCAAGGGAGCCAGGATGTTTTGATTCCTCTTGCTATCAACCTAGCAATTAACAAAAGAGCCAGTGATTGCTATATTGACTGGTCGGGAGGTCTATTTTTCTATCTCAGCTATCTCAACTAAAGGAAGAGAGGGCAGAGGGATGGGTCAGTGGCATTTATTTATCACTATACCCTGTTTTGTATTTGTGTTGCCAAAGGAGGTATGGGGTGATAATGGCATAGCAGTCCTTAGACATCCAATTTCCCTTATCAGGCCACTGAATAGAAAAGAGGCCGCAAGCCACATTAATTAACAGATACCAATCAGCTGTCACATGTTATATGTGCGTGTATGAAGTCTGACAGGTAAGTGGTATGGATCAATAAAGCACTGGAGAAGAGGGCAAGAAGAAATTAGAGGACAGCTGAAGAGGAATCTGGGGCACTCTGGAGATGAATTACAAATTCGATCTTTGTTTGGCAAATGTGGAAAGGCGCTTGACTTGGCAAAACTGGGCTGCCATTCAATGGTGACAACAAACTTTTGCTCTGTCCTGTATGCCTTCAACAACAACCACCTACAATCAGCCATGGTTGAGTAAAGGAGCTTTTTGACTGTTACACTACATATACTTAGCAACAAAATTATGTTCTTAAAGCTTTACATTATAATATATTACAATATACAAAATTCACAGACTATTTTAAAGTCCATGCTTCAGAAGAAGTTCTAATTTTGACAGTAAAATTAAAACATGAAGATTGCCCACCTTTTTAACACGTTAAAGACATTAAATCTACTCCGAGTCAGCAAAGAACTCAAAATCTGAAGATGAAGATATTTTGTGCCAACCACATAGAAAGGTCTTCAGCCAGGTGAAGGATTACATCAATTTTTTTCATTCAGGTTGTTCTCATTTTGACTGGTACAGTTAAACATTTTAACTATGCACTTTGTGCTTGGATCTTTCATTAAGATATTCATCAGACAGTCTAGCTTGTTTTTCACTAATTTCTGAGACATTGCTATATTTAAAAGTACATACAACTTCAGATTTTGGTTTCAGTATTCTCCAGCTTGAACCAGAGTGGATGATTAAAACTTCTTTCTCAGGTTCAGTTCTGTCATCTGTCATCTATCATTTATGTTTGCACAATCATGTCGCCTCAACTAATATTATTAAATATTTTACATGAGACAAAGATGCTTTTACAGGAGGTAACTGGACTATCTTGTTTTGCTTTGAAGACGTTTTGCTTCTCATCTAAGAAGCTTCTTCAGCTCTGGCAGAACAGTGGGGAATGAAAGGATTTATATTCCTTGTAGCTGGTCATTTGTAGTTTATCTGTGTCCTCAGGATCACTTGAATAGTCTTGCTCCTGTAGTCTGCATTTTTTATCTGGAATTCCATTCCTACTCCCACACCATTCAAAGGGTGTTCATCCCAAATTGTATGCTAAAAGTAAGGTGACCAACTTTTTTACAATGAGAAGGAGGACACAAATAAATTGAAGAAGAAAAACCAAAGCCACTTGCGTGTGGTGCACTCATGTGTGCAGTGCACTCTTGCTCACGGCTCACTCTCTCAAAACAATTCTGTTCCTAAAAGGAACCAGGAACACTACTCAGGTGAAGCTTCTTGGATGAGAAGCAAAACATCTTCAAAGAAAAAACATCAAGTTACCTCCTGAAAAAGCTCCTTTGGGACAACCATGACCTGGATGACTGAGAATCTCTACAGAGGTTTACATGAGAGTCTGATGTCACTTTTCTTTCCTTAGTTAATAATAAAAAGAAATAAGTGTTGTTTATTCCTCACTGATCAAACACTGCATTCATAATTTCTACTGCTCTGGTGCTCTTGAATGACTCTCCAAGAGTCAACAAGTGCCTATTAGGCTCCTGTTGAACACTGATTCCTTCATCCAGGCCAGAGGTGGTATTCAGCAGGTTCTGACCAGTTCTGGAGAACCGGTAGCGGAAATTTTGAGTAGTTTGGAGAACCGGCAAATACCACCTCTGACTGGAGATTTTACTCCTTCCCCTGCCACACCCACCAAGCCACGCCCACAGAACTGGGAGTAAAAAAAAATTGAATCCCATGACTGATCCAGGCCTCACT